ATTAGAAAGCAGGTCTTCTGATCTAACATCTAATAACGCGGTACTTCCTACAAAGTGGAGAGTAATTGTATATATTAACGTATTGACTGCATCACTTTCATTATTTATTATATCTTAATTCATTTTTAACCGCCCATTGTTTAGTGGCAGTTAATATTTCATTTTTCGTATTTTCATCCATGTGGAAATCCCACTAACCTCTCAGCCATCCTGTGAATCCACAAATAATGGCTTTGGCTATTTCTTGGTCATGGTTTCCACTTATCTTACAGGCAGTAGTATACATGGTCATATGCTTCATAAGATCAAGAATCCGGTTTTCTGACATGCCATCAATATTCTAATTTACAATGGATCTTCCAGAATAAGATATAGAACTTGTAATTAAATCTTCTTCAAACTGGAGATCTACAGGGGTAGGCCTAGGATAGTACATTCTTGTTTGAGAAGTAGGCCTAAACTTTTTCCCATAGTCTATTCGGTTTATTTCAAGACTTTCTGTTTTAAAAGCTAGTTCTATTTTATCAAGTTCATTATTAGGAAAGGGTTCTTGTTGAAGGACCATAGCTCCTTGGTCAGAGCTTGTCTTAAAAGTTACTCTCTTTTCTTTTATATTTAACTTTGCTAGTTTTCTAACTAGCTCATCCACTAATTCTTTATTATTATCTTTTTTTTATATACCTTGAAGGCTGAACTGACTCTTATTAATGGTTGGGGGGGGTTTAAACAGTAAAGCTTGTTTCCCTTCCGTTTTCTTATGATCCATAGGGTTTTCCCGTGGTCTACTTATTATATTTTCAATCCTAGTTGTCTGCCTTCCAATGGTTTGTAAGCAGAGATTAGTATAATTTTTCTGCTCAATTAGATGTGGAATGGCATCTATTTTATGTGTATGGTGATCCGTTTCTTTAGGAGAAATTTTATAAGGTGAAGCCTTAGCTTCGAGTTTATCTTCACATTTCCCTTTCATCTGAAGACTTCTTTCAGGGGGATAAATGGATTGTAATTCTTCCCCTTGAGTGGTATAAAAGGTTTGATACTGGTTCTCAACAGTCTTAAGACCAAATTCAGAATTGGAATATTCCTAAAGTTCCAGCATCAGATGTTTACAGAAAAGGAACTTTTGAATTTAAAACAAGTTTTTCCATCAAAATTGTAGAATAAAGTATTTCTATCACCAATGAGTAGAATAGTTTCCAACTTCTTTCAAACCGAATGATACAAGACCACAAAAATAAGAGTTACAAATATTTGCATATAGGACTTGTCCAAATTGCTATAAAACCTCTTACTCGAGTTGGTTTAAATAACTCGATCCTTCTTTGCCTAAAGGAGGAGTAACATAATAAATTTTCAGACTCTCTACTAGGAATAGTAGAATCAAGTCTTTGTAACGGTCCTATATCCTTCAATTGTTTCCCCAATTTTTCAATAGCCTTGATAGATCCTAACCTCTTGAAAGTTCTTACCTTAAATATAAAAACCCAAGGGTTCGATATGGATTCAGGATTCCAAAATATTGCTCTAGTTTATAGGATATGCTATAAAGTGATGAACACTTTATGCCCAAATGCACTTCAGATGGATACTAAAGGGCAAACGGTGTTTTTCCAAACTAATATGGAAAAATCTAATACTGTTATACCAAGGTCTATGGCCTGGTCTCAGACTCCTTGAAAAATGGTCTCTGCACTCTGAAAATCAACAATCTAGAACCCCAGTGAATCGAGAACCCGAACAAATAATAGAATACCCAGATGGGGATGTAGAAATACAATTTAATTCAAACTGACGGACTCGAATAAATATTTCTGAAGGCCCTTCTAGAATTCCTTCAAGATGCTCTACTTCTTCTGTTCCATAGTCAAAACAGGAGCAAAATCATAAGAGACCAGTAGTAGAAGGATTGACTAGAAAATATAGTCAAGTCCAACAACCAGTATATAGAATATATGAACCTAGTTCCGCAGATAAAGAACCAACGCCTTCTGACTTAGATTTCAATATCCTTACTCTCCAAGAAGAAAAAATAGAAGAAACAATATTTAAAACAAGACCTCCTGTCTGATGAAAATAAGAACATCCGGGATTGGTACCTGGCTGAATTCCCCCAAAACCTATTAGATGCGTTGCATAAGAAATTCAATAAATTCATATTAAAACATAAGAGAATGTTCAACATCCGAAAATGTCTTATTTTCGGTTCTTGAACAACCGAAAATAGACATGAGGTTAAAAATTTGAATTGTCATTTTCGGTTGTTCAAGAACCAAGAACAAGACATTTTTGGATGTTGAACGACCTAAAATGTCTTAATTTCGGTTGTTCAACAACCGAAAATAGGACATTTTCGATTGTTCAACATACGAAAATGTCCTGTTTTCGGTTCTTGAACAACAGAAAATAGACATGAGGTTAAAAATTTGAATTGTCATTTTTTATTGTTCAAGAACCGAAAACAAGACATTTTCGGATGTTGAACAACCGAAAATGTCTTAATTTCGGTTGTTCAACAACCGAAATGGGTAAAACTCTCTTTTTTAAGAATTCAGATAGCATAGACGTAGAGAGCAGCGTAAAACTATAGGGGCCATTTTCAATTGTTCAAGAACCGAAATTGCAGCATTTCAGTTGTTGAACAACCGAAAAAGGATAAAAATGTCTTTTTAAAACAAATCGTTATGAGGTGAAAAAAACAGACATTCCAGTGCTAACGGAAAGTATTTGGTATTTTGGTAATAATTAAAAGTATAACAGATATATACATAATTTTCCCTATATTTTATAATCATTTTACCATACAAATAAGAATAAATTTGAAATTTATGATATCATCTAATTTGATAATCTAATTTACAACTATAGCAAAATATAATACATTATATAATTTATAATATAAATATATTAATAAATAATATATGACATCGGGCAATCCGGATCGAGAATCAAACATTTATTAGATGTGATACTAAATTAATACACGTTTGATACTTTGATGTGATACTAATATAAAGAGAGTCTATTGATGAATATAAGGAAGGTTTTTAAATACAATTGAATATGCATCATTAAGAAGGTTTTAAAAATGCGTCGTATAAATGCATGGTACCCTAAACTATATTGGGCGCTCTTTTATAGATTGACTTTTATATATTGGACGCTGTTTTATAAGGCAAAAAATTGAATGCTTTTTTATAAATGCATGGCACGTCTAAATTCATGGCGCCCGAAACTACATTGTCCCACATTGACAAAGTGTGGGAGCGCAAAGCAATATAAATTGAATTCAATCTCCCTGTATGGTACCAGCGTGTGGTGGAGAAGCCAGGCTGCGTGGTTGTTTGACATGTGGCCGGTATGAGAGCACATGGGCAAAAGGTTGTGGTGGGTGGGCTCCCTCAATTTTTTAAAGGAAAAATCATATTTATAGGATTTTCCAAAATACTATTAAAATCGGTGACATGTCCGATATTTATTAAAGAAGCGGTGACATGGCCGAACCATGACGTCATGACACGCGGTTTATTGTAGCGACACAGCCAGATCCTGTTTTATGAGCGGATCCAGGACAGTCTGGATGATACCCGATCCGGATCGCCCAATTTTGGATCGGGGCACCGAATTTTTAAACACTGGTTTGAACCATTCTATGAAATAATTTAACTATTGAGGGTACTTCATCACTACTTTCCATAAGATAGATCCAAGCTTGTATAACAAGACTAGTCATCAATCAATGAGATAAAATACCAACATCCAAATACATAAATAACCTCAACAGGATCCCAAAATTAGAATGAACAAGGTGGAATGATTTAGAACTTATCTGGAAGCAATAATTTTAAGGACCTTAGAGACATGTGGCCTAAGCGGGTGTACCACAAGAGTACTTTCTCTTGACTTCTGGAGTCAGAATTGAGACTAGTAGATGGGCATCCCGTGTTGAAAAGGTATAGCCGGTTGTCATCACGACCACCACTAATCATCTTACTCATTTTTAGGTCCTGAAAAACACATTGTGAGGGTTAGAATGGTACATTGCAGTTTAGTTGTTTTGCCAAGCAGCTAACTGTGAGAAAATTGGAAGGAAAAGAAGGCACATTTATTACAAAGGGTAAGGACAAGGATGATGAAAACTTATATTTTCTGCTCCCAGAAGCAATGATAGATCCATCAGCAAGTATAACTACATTAGAAGTGGGAGAAAGGGACCAAAACCAACTTGTCTTAGCAATCTTATCATCGGTAGCTCCTAAATCCATGACCTAGGATCCAAAAGAAGTGGATTGGGGAAGATGGTTTCCAAATTCGTATGTACCTGACTGCTCTACTAGTGTCCTAGATCTGAATGAAGCATTGAAAGCAGACAAGTGGTTTTGTAAATCATTGAGGACCTGATCTGTTGGATCAGATAAAGTGGGCTATGCTGCTGAAATTACTTCCCCCTCAGTCAATACTATATTGCTACTTGCACTCCTTTGTTTCGGTTTCAAATGTCGATTGATTGTTTCGTTCACAAGCTTATCTCAAATGGAGTTGCAGTCGGCTTCTTCATATTTCTTATGTTTATGAAACACCATATTGGTGGTGATTTGAATTGCCCTTATATTATTGCAGTAAAGTCATCTAGGCGAAGCAAAATAAAGTTCATAAATAAGCACCCTGATCCAAAGCCAAACAATCACTTTGATCATGTAGGGTAGAGCACGACACTTCACTTTAATGCTGGAATTAAAGACCTCAGGTTTATTTTAATCTTCCAAGAAAGTGGAGAGTTACCTAAGTGAATGCATATGCCTGTGGAAGAGTGGCTACCAACAGGTAAGCCCACCAATCTTGATTGGATAAATCGTTAAAGGTGGCTGCGATAATGATGGGAGTAACTGTATCTGTGGCAATACAAATTCTACCTTCATCTATTTTAGTATATAGTCAATATATTTCACTTATTTCCTTTAGGATCTTACTGGTCCTTAATTTGTCGTTCCTCATCTTTTCAGAAAATCTTTTGACTGGGGAAGCTTGAGAACTGATTTTGGTGTTCAAACAACACAATATGTTACATTTCTCAGTTCACTACGTACTAAGCGAAGTGATCTACTTCAGGCACGTATCACTCTCAATTTCCTTGTGGTTGTTGTTTATCATCTTTTTCTTTTCCTTGTTTCCTTTTCTGATTCTTATATGCCTTGATTACCGCCCGGAAAACTATGTGATTAACTTTATTTAATTATCATTCGAGCAATGAGACATTGTCTTTATTCTTACTAATGAAAAGAAAATGCACCTATTACTCTCCCTAATTTTTCATCCAACACATAAGAAAGTCACAACTTATGGATTTGTGATCTCTGCTTGCAAATGATTGCATCGGAAATACATTAGGATTGGGAAGACACACACTTCTACCTGACTATTTCGACACTACATGGGTTTCCTTTCAAATTAATGGATAATTTAACTTGAAATATGGTGTAGTAGCTAAATTGCATGCCATCGATATACTTGTTATAATAGTTTCATTCTCTTAGTGTTTCTTGAACCCTTCTATGCGTATTCCCTTTTTAATTTTCTTCTTAAATGAAGTATGTGGGATATTTTTATCTTTTGCACCTTGAATCATTATCTCTTTGATATGTGAGTAGAAAAATGATGGGATACCAGGGTTGGCAAGTCTGTACTATCTGAAGTCGTATGTGATGACCGAACCACCCTACATGTAATACCTGCCATACAATTTCCTTAGGAGCTGTTTTTTAACAACTCATTAGAGATGCAAGATATTGTTTTCCTTTACCATTGCATCTCTTATGGCTAGAAAATTCTAAAGAACCAAGTATCCTAACTAGTGATATACTTTATTAGGTTCTTATGAATTTAACACACTGTATATTTTCATAAAATAGTATTGCTATAGTATTGAATGAAATGTATTAAACATGGTTTTCACAGAGAAAGCATTTCATGAAAATAGAACACCTTGATTGGCATGGGGAAGACCAATCTCAACCACAATGGGAAGCACCATCTAGGTAATTTCTTGCCTTTGATTAATGTTTTCTCATCTCCATACCTATGTCCTGATTAAGCATCTTGATAAGAATATGCTCTTACATTCTACAGGTAATTTTATTCTTTCCACCTCAGTCTATATCTTGTACATTTTACCCAAATTGAACTGAGCTGTTTTAGAGCTTGCTGCTGAGCGTGAGAAGGGAAGAAGTGAGATATCACCTCCATCTATATCATGTACATTTTACCCAAATTGAACTGAGCTGTTTTAGAGTTTGCTGCTGAGTGTGAGAAGGGAAGAAGTGAGATAACAGGTCACATGTGGCCAGACTGAAATTTTTAGATTGTATACACAACAGATAGATGAGACTAGAATTCAGATCCACAATTAAGGAGTGCAAGCAACATGTCTAGACTTGGGAGTTAGCATTCTATAGAGATGACTAATCTGGTTATGAATTTGATGCATATAGACACTAGGAATATATATTATACTGTTTGATGCTTCAAATTCATATCATTATAACAAATAACCATATTCAGTTGAGAAAGCTTTATTAGCGACCTCTTTATTTGATTTGTAATAGTCATAATCATTGGAGCCTTTTCTCACCTATTTGTAGTCAGCTACGCAAATCCCGGTCCGCCATTCTGCTCTCTTAAGGGCTATACCCTGGGTGAGGCCCCAAGTCCCTGTATTTTTTCTCACTACTTCCAACCATGTCTTTTTGGGTCTACCCCTAGCCCTTTTTTAGCATTGCACTTGAACTAATTTGTTGGGTTTTTGTGGCCCCATTTAAAGGCCTTATGAGAGCATGTAACCAAATTTATTATAGTGGAACAATAAACTCCAGTGGGAGTATGGACCAGAGGGACTGAGGTTGGCAATATTATTTATCGAGACTCAGACTAAGCATGACGAGCTAGGTCAGTCGAGTACCAAACTCTAAATACCTGGGCATAGAGCACAACCGATAAGGATTAGCGGGGTTAGCCCTTGATGAGGTCAGAGGTACCCAAGGTAGTGAGCCAAGAGACTGTGTGACCTTTGTGTGTGATTAGTGGGCCAAAGGGACAAGGGTCAAGCCTCATCTTATACCATCACACTGCATGTACACATGATAGTTGTATCGAGAAGCAAATCACCATTGAGGGTGATGTGTTCACACGTGCGAGAGATGTAACTGAATTATGGGATGGCCTAAATTCTTCACCTTGGGATAATATTATGAGAAAATTGAAGAATCCTTACATGAACCTTGTTCCTACCAAGAAGCTCTTACCTGTCTAGAGAAGGCACAATGAGAAGAAACCATGATTGATGAGCTTATCTCAATTAAACAAAGTCTTGGAACTTAGTGAACTTACCTCTTGATAGAAGACCCATAGGCTACAAGTGGATCTTTAAGAAGAAACTGAATTCAGAAGGGAAATTAAAAAGCCAGATTAGTAGCCAAAGGGTTATACCTAGAAAAAAGGAATAGATTATGATGAGACCTTGTCCCTTATAAGCTAAGTTCCCATTCGTCGCGATCCTTATAGCTATAGTAACCCATTTCGACTTTGAACTCCACTAAATGGATTTAAGACTACATCTTTTAATTAGAGCGTTAGAAGAAGAAATTTAAATGACACAAGCAAGAACCTTCATAGAGGGCAAAGGAAAACCTAGTGTATGAACTTAAAAAATATTTTTATTGCCTTAAGCAATGATCGAGGCAGTGGTATATCAAGTTTCATGAGACCTTGTCAAAAGTTGGTTTCGTGCCTAACCAAGAGGACTCTTGTATATATGCCAAGTTCAGTGGGAGTCATCTCCTTACATGGGATGATATGTTGATTGTCAGTATTTCAATGACTCATATCGGAAACAAAAGCTTTCTTGTCACAACACTTCGATATGAAAGTTCTTGGAGAGGTTTCATATGTTTAGGGAATCAAGATCATGAGAAAAGAAGCGAGAGAACCACTAATTATCCAAAAGACACATTGCAAGAACATACTGCAAAGATTTTGAAACGGATAATTGTTGGCCCATATTAACCCTCATTGATAAGAAGACCAAGGTAAGGCTAGCCATGGGCCCCACAAGTTGAAAAGAAAAAGAGGCCATGCAAAGATTTTCATACAACAGTGCAGTTGGGTCACTGATGTATGTAACATTGGGACGAGACCGGAATTATCATTTGCTATTAGCATAATTAGCTAATTCCAGAATAATCCAGGCATGGAGCACTGTAAGTCAATTAAAAGAGTTTGGCAATACTTGAAGGGAACTTTTAATCTCACACTCGCTCATGGAGGAGGCTCGAATACAGTGATATTCAGATGCGGACTATCCGGGCAATCCAGATGAGATGAAATCCATATCTGGGTATATCTTCACACTTGTCATTGGAGCTTTGTCCTTATGCTTAAGGAAACAGTTGCACTCTTGACTATGGAGTCTATGTGGCTTGTTGTCTCGCAGAGGAAGCAGTCGTCTTGTTGAAGAAGTTCCCAAATTAGCTCAAATTTAAATCTGGTAAAGTGCCCATGTGTAAGAATCTATTGTGACAACTAGGCAACGGTTTGTGTGGCCAAAGAGCATGATTTCACTAGAAATCCAGGCACACTAAGAAGGATTACTATCATATTCGCAACAATATCCAAGCAGGAGAGATCGACATTGCTTCTCTCCCAATAGAGGTATGTTAGCAAATCTTTTGACAAAAAGATTTGTAGAAAATCTATTTGGCAAGCATGTATATGAGATGTGCTTGAGAGGGAGTGAGAGGGAGTGATTGTACGATCGTCAAAGGCCAAGTGGGAGATGATGGGGTTTATAGCTTTTAAAGCCCGTGAGAGCATGTAAACAAAGAATTATAGTAGTTGTACACTTCAGTGGGAGTGTGTATGTTCATTGACTAACCTAAGATTAGGCAGTCTGTAGCCCTGGGCATATGACACTACCATAAAGGGATCATCCCTTGTTGAGGTTAGCGGGATGCCTAGGGATGGTTTGTAGGTCAAGAGAGCTTCATTGTCTCACATGCACGAATGTAGGCCTGTGAGAACAAGGGCTAAATCCTCAGCAAACTTCCGTATGGCATGTATAGATGACAACCACATATCGAGAAGCAGCCCTGCAATGATATATGTGTCCATGTTCATAAAGAGAGTCTCCCTTATACTATAATAAAATGTGCGGTGACTTGCTCCTAAGGCGAAGAACCTGTAATCTACAATCCAAGACCATGGTTTCACTATTTTTTTGCCAACTTTGACGAGCCAATCATGAGCTCCTGCGTAAGACTATGGGTCATGGGTCTCATTGGGTTGGTTTAAGAAGATAGCTGAGGACCACGGTTACTAGGTCTGGTGGAGTGCCCTGACAGTTACTCTTCTTGATCAATTGGTACCAATCCATTTCTAGGAGAGCTTCATGGTCTCCTGTGTGCAGATGTAGGCTTGTGAGAGTGAGGCTAAATGTTCAACGAACTTCCACACGGCATATATAGATAACAGTCACATATTGAGAAGCAACCATGCAAAGAGATATGTATCCTTGTACATAAAGAGAGTCTCCCTTACACTATAGTAGACTTGCTCTTAAGTCGGAGAACCTGTAATCCACATTCCACAACTATGGTTTCACTATTTGTTAGCCAACTTTGATGAGTCAATCTTGAGCCTTTGTATAAAACTATGGGTCATGGGTCTCGTTGGGTTGGTTTAAGAAGATAAGCTTAGGACCACGGTTATTGGGTCGGGTGGAGTGCCCTGACCGTTACTCTTCTTGATCCATTGGTACCGATCCATTTTTAGAACTTTTGGTTTCAGTTTTAGAAATGTTTCTGTGAATTTTATAAATTTTTCAGAATTTTACAGTTATTTTCAGCAATGAAAAATCCTTAAAGGCCATTTCTCAAATTTTTGAAATTGTGGAGGGGCTAGGATGAACACGTGGAGGCTCTTGGATCCAGCCCCATGCCACACCCACATGTGTTGGATGTGTGGCCATAGGGCTCACACGTCACACATGGGTGGTGGGACGCCCCCCTCCCCTCTTCTTGATTTTCTTTTTAAAATAACAGATGTTTTATTAAAGAAGGAAATCTTGTATATTCTTTGAAAAAATTATGTGACATTATTTTTTGGGAATACTGAATATTTTATTTATTTTTTTAAATTATGCTTTCAAGTTTTGATTTTGGCCAAATCCTCGACTTAAAATTCCTACAATCTTTTGTGAGAGAAAAGGAAGCTTTAGTCAAAACAGAAAATGTGTTTGATTGGTCTTGTCCTAAGTTGACTAGAAGTAGATCTGGGTTAGATTCAAGGGATAAGGTTCCTAGATTTCTCCTTAAATCATGATGGGTGATTCATGGGATGGATGACTTAGATTTGTTTCTCTCACCTCGCAGATTGCTTAGGAGTCATATAGACAAGATAAATTCTAAATTAGATAGGCATATACCTAACCCACTTGGAGGCTATAAATAGAGGGTAGATCCCCTATCTGAAATTCCTACCCTC